CCCCCCCCGGCCCGCCCTCCCTGCAAACCATAGCCTTCATAGGGGTCAGCTGATGGCTGGGAGGCTTACAAGCAGCACCCAGTCATGCATCAGGTAGGCCTTAGGGAGGACAAGGCGTGGGGGAGGCCATCCTAGCAGCCTCTCGGGCCGCAAGTCTCAAGTCTAGTCGTATCCATTCAAACAAGAAACAACCACACACAAAAGGAAAAGAACAGTCGTCATTCCAACTATTCCTCTCCTCCCTACTACTACCCGTCATCCGTACATATACGTTTTTTCGATGCTCTCATGTCGTTCCCCCTATCAACCAGCAGGCTTTCCTTTCTCGACGCACCCTATGTGCTTCGCCTGCATTTTCATCATCAATAGTCCCCAGCTTGCATCACCGAGTTTTTCCTTTTTGCTCTCCTGTTTTCTTTTCTTTTGTTTCCCCTTTCACTGATCCCCTGAATGAAGGCCTCTCCTGTCTGCAAAAGGGTCGCAGGGCTATGTTTTGAGAGTTCCATCTCTTTCTCTCTTTGGCAGCACTCTCTCCGGATTATGAATGCTGGTTGGATGGCTAACCAACTGACAATCTGGTCCCTACTACCGTACTCACCGGATAGAATGCCCGGTCATTATGGCCGCATCTGTACTGAAAGTTGCTGCAAATACGGCTATAATGACTGGGTGTTCCAGTCCGGCGACGAAGGTAGTCCAGGCAGGATGAATAGTTGGCATTGGTGGATCGGTAAGTTCTGGGTCAGACGTGGCAGCAGTATTGTCGTACCCTCGGGGTTGATCATCTATGCAGCCAAGAAGTCGCTTACTAGTCGATGCTGGGCCTGCAAACTGGTGGTCCCGTGGTCATGTACTGTAGTAGACCGGGCCAAGGGGTAGTCCTAGAATCGGGTGAGGCTTAGCTGGCAGGCAACCGGTCTCGTTTTGCTCCCCTGCCCTGTCTGAAAGGACACGAAGGCTGCTGCAGGCATTTGCTGTACGTACTCTGAAGATCCGACCCGTCTCTGGTCTTTCTTGATGTTGCCATGATGCTGCTTTCGAGTGTTTGGCCATCACAGTCTCTAGTGGATTCGGCAGTTCACGGCCATATACAAGGGGGCTGCAGGGGCGGTCCCGTAGCAGCCCGGTGTCAGCAGTGGAAAAAGACAAAGGGAACTACAGGTGCCAAGGTGAACGGCTCGCGTGGACAGTCACAATTGTTTGTCTTGGCTGCCCAGGTTCGCTAAAGTCCAGCCTCGATCAAAAGAGGGGTTTGACAAATAGGTGTGGGGCCAGTGGCGGCTGTAGTCTGTGAGCTTTCTGTGACGTAGGGGGCTGTTCCCACCCAGTTGCAGTCCTCCACAAGAAGCAGTGAGCCCGCCTGTTCTTGTTTTGGGAGGAGGAGGAGGAGGGGGAGGAGGAGAAAATCTGTTCCCACCCAGTTTCAGTCCTCCACAAGAAGCAGTGAACCCACCTGTTCTTGTTTTAGGAGGGGGAGGAGGAGAAAAGCTGTTCCCACCCAGTTGCAGTCCTCCACAAGAAGCAGTGAACCCACCTGTTCTTGTTTTAGGAGGAGGGGGAGGAGGAGAAAGTGGGCAAGAGGGCCATAAACCCGGTCTTCAATTCATCTCAGCTGTGCAAGTGTCTCTGTTGCTTGGACCCATTGTGTGCAAGTGTTAAGTAGTTTGTGTTAATGGGTTGAATGTTTCATTATGGGCATGTCAATGATGACAATTTGTGGATGAAATTTGACGGTTTTATTGCAGACGGGCAAAGGAAAGCAAGTAGTTGGGTTCCCTGAGCACGGTCGGGACCACCAAGTACATGCATGCATCTGGGGACGGAAAACGATCCTGTTTGAAACACGAGGAAGAGTTCTGGCAAGAATTTAAGGTAAATGACAAAATGTGCATATGCTAGCATTTAAAATTTCTGTGGCGGCTGAATTGGTGCTGGCCACCTTGCGAACCTCAGACCTTGTTTCCACCTTTTTTTAAGTTTTTTTTGTAATTGTGGCTGAGTGGTGACTTGGTTGACAATGGTGCAGGATCTGCAATTTCATTAGGCCTTTGTGTGTCTGTCACTTTGTGTGCATATATTTGGATGACATGACTGTCGGATTCGACGGCAACCTTGTTAACCCAGATTGTGTCGAAGGTGTTTGCTGTTTGTGTTCTTTTTTAGAACAAAAAAAACGAAAAACAGGGATAAGCTGTAAAAACTACCGTCTTGTACAGTCATTGAAGGCCGAGCGGCCTAGCTCAGTTGGTTGAGCACTTGAGTGGTACACAGGAGGTCGTGGGTTCGATTCCCCGCGGCATCCATTCGATTCCCTGCAACCCCCTGTGTGGTATGCTTCGGGTTTACCAACCGAGAAAGGCGGCTTGTTGCTCCTGGCTGGTTGTGGAAATATGTGAATCTGCTTTCCAGCTCGCGCCAGGTGTTAGGAGCATGGGTACTGTTTCCCCGCATAGAACAGCCGGCGGGGTACGCTGAGGCAATAAATCTGGAGGCCGGGAATCCAACCCATAACCCTAGCGTCCCTTGCTAAGCTAGTAATGTATAGGTAGGTAGTGGGAGGCATATCGAGAGAAGAATATAGGTTAGCTATGCGAATATTCAGTCATTGTGGGCCAGCGGCCTAGCTCAGTTGGTTTCGCGTGCAAGTGGCATTCAGGAGTGCGTGCCACGGGTTCAATCCCCCTCGGCACGCCTGTGGCATGCTTGAGGTTCACCAGCTGAGATAGTCAGCTTCCACCCCCCCCCCCCCCCCCCCCCTCCTCTCTTTGGTTGGTCTTGGTAGGTTCTGTCATCCATTACTGGGGGTTAGCTGCTGGCTTCTGACAGTTTCCTTCCTGGTGGATTTAGTCATCGTTCCCCTCTGTAGGCTTACGAGAATACTGATCAGGTGCATTGCCAGTGTCTGTATAGTGCCAGCAGCAGCAATGCACACAACATACTGTGTGGGGATTTTGCGCACATTCTCTGTTCCCGTGTGTGATTCCTGATGCTATTGCGAGTTTACCCCTGCCTGCTGATACGAGGCAGACAGATGATGGTGCAGCCAAAGTTTTGACATTTGTCAAGGATCCACGGAGACGAGCTGCTTCTCGTAATAAGTCTGAAAAGATGTGAAGTCGAAGGGCATATGCACACTAGGACTGCTCTACAAACATCTGAAAGTGGTTACGGCTGCCAGATTCAGTCCGAAAAGCCCCAGTGTGTGAGTATGCCCTAATTTTTTTTTTTTTCTTCCCCGGAAGTGCTCCCTGAGAACTGGTTCCCTGGTGCTCTGCTGTGATTGCTCTGTCAGACTTAGTGTGCTAATGTCATGTGCACTATCTATGTGTAGTCCTGTGTATTATCAATTTATCATGATTTTACGTGCAACGTCCAACTCCATGACTGAATGGCCTCTGGGATGTCTTGTCGTCAGATTCATCACCCACCATGGAGCCCTGTGAATACAAGATGCAGTTGGGCAGCGTGGTCTGTAGGTACACTTGTTTTTCCATTTTTAACCACAAGTACACGGCCCCAGCCTTGCAGTCCGAAACTTGTCGCTACAAGAAAAAGAGGCCGAAACGTCAAACGCTGGGCCCACCGGTGATAAATTCAATCGGCGCTCTCGTTTTCCGTTTTGCGCCTCCACAATTTGAGGTGTCAGGTCCGTGGCCCAGGTGCCCATGTACTGGTGGTTTAAGGGAAAGTAATTTACTTCAGGGCTAGGCAAGAAGGGACAGACGTACAGAGGGATGTACATGTTGAAGGACAGAGGGACAGAGGGACCAGATTGATGGATAGACAGACAGGCAGGCAGGGGGGTGTAGGTACAGAGAAACAATGGGTCAGATCAGATGGAGGGAGGTGCAGAGGGAGGGAGTTACATATCGACAAGGGGAAAGACGTGGATGGATGGATGTATGGAAGACATACACACGTGTAGGGTGGATGAATGGATTGGTGTGTGATTTAGGTAGGGAGTGACATATCGACAGGCGGAAAGGCATGGATGAATGGATGTGCAGAGGGAGGGAGGTGCAGAGGGAGGGAGTGACATATCGACAAGTGGAAAGGCATGGATGAATGGATGTATGGAAGACGTACACATGTAGGGTGGATGGATGGATTGGTGGGTGATCTAGGTACTACTCTGACAAGCAACAGCATGCAGTGAAATATTGGTTTTTAACTTGTGGTGTTTTCCGTTGACCTTATCAAGGAAGCTGACATCGGCCGGAGTCTGTTGTCTTGCCGTAAAAGCTCAGCGGGATGAAGATCAGAAGATGTGAAAAGAAAAAGAACGTCAGGGTATAATTTTTGAAAAGGAAAAAATCCTGGGTATTTTACTGTTTTTTTTTAAAGGAAAGACCTGTAGCAGCAGATGTACTCACGCACGGTTAAGTGTTCAGACACAGTATGTGCGATTCTGTGAGTCCGATAGTGTGCAGGCTGGCTTATGACCTCGACTTTGCCTGCTGCCTCGATCTGAGAGGGCCGGAACGTTTCCATGAATTAAACAGCATGCTGATAATGCAGCATGAAAAAAAAAAGATTGAAAACAAGGAAAGGCTTTTAGAGACGAGGAGTGCAGCGATGCGGACAACAGTCCACAGCTGCGAAACGCTCATTTATATATATATTTTTTTTAATTTGGACCATTTCTCGATTTATGCGTGTCACCCTTGCTTGCGCAGGGGCCATGCTAATCTTCTCTGTATCGTTCCAATTTTAAGTTTTAACAGATGTCCCGAAGGACACACTCATTTATATTTGTCAGTAGGCTTGTCAAATAAAACTGTGGAACCGATCGATCATCTTGGCTGTCTGGGCGATGATCAATTAAGATAGAAACAATCCCTGGTGATTCCAATACCTTTGACATTACTACCGTCTTCACCGGAATAGGACACCTGGTCATTATCGCTGTATTTGGCATAACTTCAGTCCAGATGCAGCGATAATGACAGGGCATTCTTTTCGGGTGAAGACTGTAGGCATTGCTGTCATGTTCGCCTGGTCAAGCTGAGGTGCAGACGGAGAAAAGATTGTTATCATATCAGTCAGCGCTGTAGCGCAGACTAATACAACATGCATGAACGGTTAGACAGGTGGTGTCGCTGAAGCATTTGGTTGCTCTGAGCACCCACTCCAAAAGAGAGAGGGTGCATATGTAAGTATACACACGCACTTCACCGGCTTGAATCGCTATAGGGATAGGGTTCCACTGTTGCAAACCAGTTGGTCTATCCTTCATCCTGGAGCATCTCTGCAACTAGTAGCGGGCGCATTTTTCCCTTGGTAATGTGGGCGGGTTTAAGCCCCCTGAATGGGTGTGTTAAATGGTAGTATGGCTGGTCAGCGGCAGCAGGGTCGAGAAGGCAAGAGTGACTTTGGTGGAGCAGGTTGGTGGTGTGTGTGTGTGCGGGTGCACAAACCTGCATGTGGATGTGATAAATCTGACAGTCTGTGGACTTCTGTTTCTGGTGGTGTATGCGACTGATAGTCTGCTTGGCTGTGGGGTCAATGCAGAGTATGGCTTGAAGCGTTAGTAGGGGGCTTTGCACAGACTGTTGAATGCCCAGCCTCCTGATGAGTCAGTGGATGTCTGATGGAACAGGCTGTCACAGCCCCTCTTTTCTTTCCCTTTTCCACCTTTTTGCCTGAAGCTCAAAGGGGTTCTTTGTGAAAGTATATAGGGGATGATGCTGGGGGATGGGTGAGGGCTTTACATACATGTGCTGTTCGTTATCGGTGTTTTGTAGGAGTATTTGGGTATATGCCGTTCTCATCGACCTGTACAGAAATGCCTTTGCGTCCTGTGGCAGTCTCTTGGTGGCCCGCTTGGCCTGCCTGTGGCGTAGATTGCATGTTTAACAGTTCCTCGGGCCCTGCATAACAGCTGTCTTTATCGCATTACGACGTCATACAGTACCTCATCCATCACGCTGCGCTACTACCTTCCATGTCTTTTTTTTTCTTTGGCAAATTTCTCCTGCGTCTGTGTTCGCCTCGTTGGTTTTTCCGTTTTGCGATTTCGGCTGACTCGAGCAGGTTGTGGCAGGTGGTAGTAGGTTTATTCTGTGCTCATTCTGTCCTTGTTGGATTGCCGGTGTGCTTTGCTGCATGGCGTAGATTGCAAGCCCAAGGAGCGAAAGCTCAGAGTGTGCAAGACGGTTAGGGTTCCTTGTCTCCTTTCTCATGGTCGTGTCATTCTTACTCGTAGTCCACTTCTTGCTGCTTCTCTCTTTTGTGGGTGGAATTGGGTCTGCAGACTTGAGAGGGATCTGCATGTATGCCATGGTATTATATTCTTAGACTCACTCTCAATGCGTCCGTTTTGGCGTCTGTTTATCCTTTTGCACTGTTCAACCCTTGGGTAGGTGAATACAGTTTTCAGTGCGCTGATTTTTTCTCTTGACTTTGACGGTTGACGACATCAACACCATGCCAGTCGATGGAAGATCGCAGACTGCGGCAATTGCTTTGACGCGTTGCTATGGAAGACCAGGCATGTTGGCCGGGATTCCAAGCTCGACGCACAGGGATGGAAGACCGCTACTACCCTCACCGGCGTTTGGACATTGGCGATCATTACCAGCGACCTCAACGCCCCGTCATGGAAGACGGTTATGGCCCACATAGACCACTGGACATCGATGACTACTACAGGCAAACTCGATCCCGGGGAATGGAAGACCAATATCAGAGGTCTGCATGGCTCGATATGGAAGCACGCTATGATCGTCAAGGCCGGTACCCATCCTCTGGGCTTGTGCCGGAGTTATCTAGACCACCTAGTGAAGGATATCCAGAGGCGGAAGATTTGCACCGTCGAAGAGTCCCATGGTCCACTGAGGAGCACCTGCGACACTCAGCTAGCCTACTCAGTGGAAGCCATGGTTATCGACCGAGTCAGCTGAGTGTGGAGGACCGCTGCCAGCGGCAACAACACCTGGACATGCAAGGGCGCTATCCCGATCCAGCAGCCTATCCGTTATGTGGCCCCTTGGCAGACTTGATGAAACTGCGCAGTGCAGACCGTCCGGACATGGACAACCTCTATCACCACCGTGGGATACGACCTAGCAATGGCCATGATCTGGACTCGTCCAGGCCATCGCCTACAGACTTCGGCTATCCACCAAACCAGCCAGGTTTGGAGAATCGAGGTCTTCAGCAGCACTCGGAGATGCGCAGCTATTACTCTCATGAAGCAGGCCGTCTAGCTGGCATTCCTTCGTCTGAATCGACTGCACCAAACAGTGCAGACGGAGTGGAGAAGGAAGGGCGCTACAAGTATCTAGATGCAGGCCACAGGGATGGCTATGAGCTAGGTTCACGCAGTCACCTGATCACAGGCCGGGATTCTCACACAAATCAGGAAGGCATGGAAGACCGCCAGTACCGGCGGCCTCAATGCCCAGATGCTGATGGTCAGTATCACTGCAGACTTCCTTATCCCGACGGTGACGATCGAGCACGTTCCGCCGGTTCACCTGAACTTAAGTATGGCCAAAAACTGGAGAGCTATCAGGACATTGGTGAGCGCTACCGCCAAAGTGACCGGGGTGATAGAGATAGGGATGACAGATACTCCTGGCAAGCGACACACCCTCAGACCAATGACCATGGGGATTCAGTCAGCGGCCTCGGTACGAGGGATGCGAATGTCAAAGACGCCAATCTTTACCATGAAATGAAATCCAGTGCTTCTGACAGCCGGCAGGAATCAGCCAGCTGCAGGGCACATGTGACTGCGGGGAGTCTCTCTGCAGGTCACTCAGATGCCTTAGCCTCTGAGTGGTACTATCTGGATGAGGCAAATCAACACCAAGGTCCCTATTTGCCATCGCAACTCCAAGAGCTCTTATCTTTGGGCACCATCCATTACTCGACGATGCTATGGGCAGAAGGCCGAACGGATTGGTATCCCCTGTCCAGCATTCCAGAACTGTACGGTTTTGTCTTTGAACGTGCCGTGCACCTCAGAGCTGCTGCAGTGTCGGCAGATGCGGATGGCAGAAAAGAACATACTCAGGGTAGTGATGTCTCCCGGCCGCGAGCATCTGGTCAGGGTTGGGACCGTGAACTGGCAAGCAGTGGCAATGCGGATAATACCAATGCTTCAACAGTGAGCGCAAATGGAGGTGAAGAACGATGGAAACGAGAATCGAGAGCTGTAACAATACGAGAGTCCCTGGGGACCTATCAGGCGAAGGCCGGGGGTGACAATTCAGCTGCAAAGAATTCATCTGGATCTGCGATTCCTTCGGAAGCAACTCTTGACCCAGACATAGAATTGCAGCGATTTAAGGAGGAAATGCGGAGAGTGGAGATGGAGGTTGAAGCTGCAAAAAGGGCTGCCAAAAGGGCCTGGGAAAGTAGTGGGAAGCGGGAGGAAGAGGACGAGGACGACGAGGAGGAAGGAGAGGTAGCGGGCAGGGGGCACCCCACACAGTTCCCTCGGGGGGAAGGTATCTTTGTGGATGACGAGGGAGCAGTCTATAGATGGGATCGACAGTTGAGGATGTGGGTGCAGCAGGGTGGGGATGCACCTATACACCAGCAGTTTGGGCCAGAAGATATGGTTGAAATGCTACAGCGTGCAAAGACACGAGGCCAAGGAAAGGCAGCAAGTGTCGGGCAGTCGCAGAAGCTGAATGCCAGCAGTGATGTTGACTGGAGGGCTAGACAACACCACCAACAACAACAACAGCAACAGCAATATGAAGTATCATCGCAGGCAAAGGTGAGCACTGTTGTGTATGTGTCAGGGTTGCCACAAGATGCGACTGTTGTTGAAGTGGCTGATGTGTTCTCCAGATGTGGACTTATCAGGGAGGATCCGACAACAAAACAGCCTCGTATCAAGCTCTATGTCGACAAAAGTACTGGGCGACACAAAGGTGATGGACTTGTCACATACGTCAGGGAACTGTCAGCGGAACTTGCTGTGAAGGTTCTCGATGGAACGCCTTTACGCGCCGGTGATCAGCGGAAGATGTGGGTATCTCAAGCAGAATTTGAGCAAAAGGTTGAGCACTCTGTGAAGCGCCCGGCAACGACCAAGAAGAAGAAGACCAAGCTCAAGCACCAGCAGGACGAGGATCCTCCCCTTGCTGGCAGTGCCAGTGTTGATGACCGGTCACGGGCAACAAGTGGGATGACCGTCATAATGCGCAACATGTTCTCTGTGGAGGAACTTGTTGCGGACCCCAACTTAATAACTGAACTAGAAAGTGACGTATGGGAAGAATGCAGCAAACTGGGCACAGTGCAGCGATTAAAGGTCTATGAGAAGCATCCAGAAGGGATTGTAATGGTGAAGTTCACAGAAAGGCAGGCTGGGTTCAGGTGCATCCATCTTATGAATGGCCGATGGTTCGGGGGGCGTAAGATAGTGGCAAGGGAGGAGGATGGTCTCACCAACTATGCGTTGGGAGGCTTCCTTCCAAAGTGAGAACAGGCTGTGTCATTGGGGTTTCACACTGCGCGTGAAGCAGGAGATCATGACAGGAACCTCCCCTCAACCTATACCCTGTGGCGGCCCGTTTCCCGTGTTCCCCCCCCATTCCTCCCTTTGGGCTCCGGTGCATGCATGTTATGTATGGCTGTCGGTTCGGGGCGCGGAAGATAGTGGAAAGGAAGGAGGATGGTTTTATAAAAAAGAACTACGCAGCGGGAGGCGTCCTTCCAACGTTGAACGGGCCGTGCTGGCGAAGTTCCGTGCAGAGCTTCAAGCCGTAGCTCATGACAGAGACCCCCGTCCACCTGTACCCCACTCCGCCCTGCCTCCCCAACGCAACCCCAATCAACCTGCATTCTACCCGATGGACTTGTTGGATCATTCAAATTTATTGAGCCTCATGAGTATGAAATTATGAACTATGTGTGTGTACATGCAAGTTGTTGTCTATGAAACAGTAGTCGAAGGTCATCCAGGAGTAAGGAATGTACGCATGAGGGAGCAGGTACTTCCCTGCCCATCTCCAGTTCTGCTAGATTAGTAGACGGGCCTATCCGCTGTTTTCTGTCTGTGCTCTTGCAGCTGAAGCTTGTGGGCGGGACCTTGATCGAAGTTGTCCTTCCTCAGCCTTGGCGTCTTCTTCGATATCGTGAACGGTTTGTTGCCCGTGACCTCAGCGATTCTCTTGGGTCTTCCGCTGTCAGGTTTTATTAACTCCTCCAAAGCGAGGATCGCCCGGTGTTTAAAAAAATGAAAAAAAGGGAAAAAAGATCGGCCGGTGTTCTACTTCCACTTTTGTGCTGTGGATTTCCTGTTTCCGTCATGATTCTTTTTTTTTTTTTTTTTTTCCCTTCATGATTCTCATTGCCGCTTCACACTGAAAGCATTCTTTCTACCGAATCTTGTCTGTTCGTAGGGATCGTGCTATCCTTGTGGCTGTCTGTGGGGTCCCTTTTTGATGCAAAGCTCCTTCTGATTATTAAACCACTGGTACGTTTCCCAGCCCATTTTCCTCCGTCGCTCCTGAATGCATGCTGCAAATTTTGGGGGTCGGCCTCTACCGAAGCAAAATGGCTGGCGGTGCCAACCAAGGGACGGTCCTCGCCGGTTCGTTTTTCTTAGCGAGAGTGTGTTTTGAGGCTCTGCAAGGGAAGGGTTGAAATTTAGCGGTAGAGTGCTCCACGATGGCGGCAGTAGTAGCAGTAGTGCTAGTGGTTGCTCTGCAAGCCCAAGCAACACAGCTGGTCGCCATAGAGTACAAGTTTTAGGAACAGTGTTCAGGTCCATTAGTGCCTGATATCGGCCTATGTTACGTTGTGCACTGTGTGTTAACCAGTTGCACCTGGCAAAATGCATTTGTTAGACAGAGTCATGGTCAGGTCCATACTTGCGGTGCACTTCCGCAGTGCACCGTGCGGCGCGCGTGCGCCATCCGCCGTGCACGAATTGGTGATGCGCTGAGCTTTTTTTTTTTTTTAAGGATGTTTTTGTACACACACACACACACACACACACACACACACAGAGCGAGCGAGCGAGAGAGAGAGAGAGAGAGAGAGAGAGAGAGAGAGAGAGAGAGAGAGAGANGAGAGAGAGAGAGAGAGAGAGAGAGAGAGAGAGAGAGAGAGAGAGAGAGAGGGAGAGAGAGAGAGAGAACAAAGAATCCCCGTCACACGTATCAGAGGGCCCATGTCGATAATCTGAAGGGTCCTCGCTGCAATTTTAGCGAGGAACCTCCACCAAAATCGAGGCAGGCAGTGAATACGAAGTGGAGCACGAGCTGGCTGAATATATACTCAGGATTCGTATGCACGTCTGTGTTTCAGCAGTTATGGGTTGTTCAGTTCGCTAGGGCCTGCTGGTGTCTGCACGTGATTCTGAGGGCTTGGCTGCAGTACTAACCAAATGTGCAGAATTAGAATGAATCTTCTGCTAGAATGTGGAATAATACGCCGCGGTATGTTTTGTCTTTTGTGCATGTCGTGAGTAGAGGCCCATAGGGCCACTGGCCCACTGCAAATGTGCAGAATTAGACTGAATCCTCTGCTAGATCGTGGAATAAGACGCCGCCATATGTTTTGTCTTTTGTGCATGTGGTGAGTAGAGGCCCTTAGAGCCACTGCACGCATTCTTGAAAAATGAGAAAACAAAAGAAAAACGAGAAACAAAAGAAAAACGAGAAAACAGGGAATTAGTGACCCATAACTGTGATGCACAGACCTGAATTGGAATCCAGAGTATATATTCTTGGCCCACGCAGACAATCCAGAAGTCTAATGTTCATCTCTGCTCCACGAGGGGTCCTTGCTAATTTGTAGGGGCCCCTCGGAAATGAGGCTGGACACTATTAGGACATGCACACCCGCACACACACACATGTGCTCACAGTGTTGGGGTATGGGGTGGCCCCGACTTTTTTCCCTCTTGGAGTTTGATTTTTGGAAGCGAGGGGCAAGTTTGCCCACCCCACCCAGCGCTTTCAATTTTTTTTGTTATTTTGCGCCGATGCGCGTGCGCTCTGCGCCGCATGTGCCGCGACCCCGCGCACGGGATGCGCCACAAGTATGGTCAGATCACATTCTTTATTAGCAGGCGTGTCCGATTGAGGATTCAGCGTCGCAGTTCGAAATCCGCCGTGGCGGTGCGGCGGTGGAAATTTTCCGCGCGATGCTAGAATCCGCCCTGGCGGTGCTGCGGTGGAAATTTTCCGCCGCAGGTATGTTGCCAGTGATGAGGACATCCGCCCATGCCGTATTTTTTTGGTCAAGATTTCATTTCCACAGCATGGTGCTAGTGATGAGGTGCACTGCCATTGGGTGTGCTTCGATCGCTGCACCGGCTCCAATTCCCTCCCTCTCCAACCACCCAGCCGTTTCTGTTCCCTTTAACTGCCGGTTAGAATCCGTCACTAGCACCCAGCTTATCTCGCCATAGCTGGTTGGTTGACAGAGGTCCCTTTAACTGCCGGTTAGAATCCGTCACTAACTCTTTTCTCCAACCACCCAGCTTATCTTGCCATAGCTGTCTTGTGTGTTTGGTCATGAATGGTATTTGATTTCCTTTTCTTTTTCTTTCTCCCGAACTTGTTGAAGTCTAGCCTGGGTCATGCGAGACCCACGGGGACCATGAGGGACTGATTGGACCACGAAGCAGCGTGCGCAGTGCGGCTCTCTCCCAATACCCGCCTATCACCAATAGGCAGTGTAGTGGTCGACGGGGAGGTTAATGACTGGGGGGGGTGGTGGGACTCCCACCCAATATGTGCCTATCACCAAAAAAAGGGGAGGATTTTTGTCTTTTTGGAGAGGGCCTGGGGATAGGGGGTGTTGGGGACAAAAAAACAAGAAATTAATTAATCAATCAATCAAGCGGCAAGCAATCATCAATCAAGCAAGCAAGCAAGCACGAAGTAAATGCCAGTAATCAATCAATGCAATACTCTCTCTCTCTCTCTCTCTCTCTCTCTCTCTCTCTCTCTCTCTCTCTCTCTCTCTCTCTCTCTCTCT